TTCTTCGCCGGCTCTCTTCAGCTGGCCGCATCCGTCGACTCGGAGGCCACTCGTCGGAAGTACTTACGTGTTCTCCTAAGTGACAAAAGAGCGCGATCGTTAAGCTCCGACGATATTCACGGGAGCACAGGCCACTCGAAGACGAGATGTGACCCGAAAGAAAAGCCCTCGAAACTCTTTGCGCGGCGCGAAACCAGCCGTTGCCACGTGAAAACCGGGGGCCGCGATGCGTCTCACGTAGAACGCACGTGCGGCTCCGCGTACCGCTCTCGACTTCGATTCTCCGCGTGGACCGTGTCGCTGGCGAACGATTTGCGACGTGAATGAAAAGTAGGCCGCGCGATTTCGCCGCTGGACGTTCGCTTGGAGACGGCGATAAAGGGTGATCCGGTCGAGGTGGATCGAGACAGAGACGAAGCGCGAATTAGTCGAGGTGGATAGAGCTTGTTGGAGATCGTTGGTGGTAGGACTTTGTAGGAATCTTAAGCTTAGTAGGACTTGGAATGGAGGTGTAAGGTAGAGATGTTTTCAATTTTTCAGCTGTGTGGTGCACTGTGTTGTCGTATTCTTCAGGTCAGGCTTGTAACTTAATACTATTATTTCTTTATGTGTATGTACTTATATAGATAGATCAATCAGTGATGTTTGAATGTTATTAGACGATATCAACAATTTTCAAAGGAGATAAGTAATACGTAAAAATTGCAATGTGAAAGGGAGATATGGATCCCTTTCTAATATTTCCGTCGATACATAAACATTGATACTTTTACTAAAACACGGGACCAAGTTGGAAATAAGAACATACTTGAAAATGTTAAAAATAAATAAAAATATAAGGCGTTTTGGTCAAATGAGTTGTAGATTATCAGCGTTTGTAGATAATATAAAAATAATATTATTCAAAACAAGTTTGCCTCGTATGATAGAACTGTGGAATCACTGGTTTTTTAAACTATTTTCTTTATTTAATTAATTTATACGAAAATCAAGAAAAGAGGGTTAAATTTGAAAATATTTTGCGTATGCATATTATACTATACACATTTTTCAGCAATTAGAACCTAATTAAACCTAAAAAAAAAACACACACAGAACACCATCAACGATCGAACCTTCAAAACGAAAACACGCCATCAGAGGAGCAGATAAAACCTGAAATGAGAATTTTCGTGCCAGCTTTATTAACCCTCCCTCGCTTCTCGATAAATCTTCAGCGAATAAACCGCTCAGTTTCCTAATGCACCTCGATTGATCCTCCGGGAGGATTCGAACAATACTTCACTTTGAAGTGCACATATGCCCTGAAATTGCACGGCGGATCGACGCGCACCGCCGCGACGCGACTCAACTCGATGTTCTGCGATTTATCACGGCATCGAAATCATCGCCGGAATAGCAATGAGCTCTCTTCCGTGTGCTGTTGGTACCGCGGCGCTATAGACAAACGCGACGCGATTCGATTCGATTCGATATCGTCTCCAACGGGACTCGAGTCTTTGATGTTCGATTTCGCCGTCGGAGCGTATCCGTGGCCGCTCGCGGAATCCATTTCCCCCGCTTCTGAATTCGTTGCGCAAATTCGACGGTTAATGGATGTCCACTTTCGGAATCAATCAGGCTCGGCGCGGGGGCCAACGGGCGCGGCGAAAATTAATGTGCCCCCGGAATTACAGTGAAATCAAATGAAGATTAATTTTCGTTTGAGCGACGCGAGCGCGCGGCCTTCTGTCGGACCGGGACCCAATCATACTATACCCCCGGTTGCTCTATGTTTTGCAGCGCTGCAAATACCGCAATTTCGGCCGTTTCGTTAAACGGTCGGACGGGAAACTGCGGTTGGCTGGGATCGAAAGCATCTTTGAAATTAAAATTGCAGACGAGGGTGGTGTTTGGTGAGATTCAGTTAATAGTTGTTTCTAGTAGTGAAAATGTATCATTCTTAAGAGAAATCATTATTTTGTGGGCAATATTTTGTATGAAGATTGATTGCAAGGTCGATCACATTAAGAAGATTAGAAAACTCGTCGTCGATATGATTTGTCACAATTTGTGTAATATGACAGAATTTTTGTAAACCAATAGAATCTTTGCAAAGAATAAAAAGTTTTAAAAAAGTTCTGACTGCTGCTGATAGTTCTGGCAATACATAAATTTGTCTGTAGGCAAACATTTATTGATAACAAATTTTCCTTGTATGTCTACAACGCGTTTCTGTACTATGTCTGACCAATAACGTGTTATTCCACTTAAATCGACCGCGTCAAATTTATTTTAGGTTTTTTCACTAGAAATCTGTTAGAAGCTGTTTGATTTGCTATTGCACACATTCACATGTAACATTAGAATGACTATCTACACTGACCTGACCGTTTTTTGACTATGTTTCACCAATAACGTGTTATTCCACTTAAACCAACGGCTTAAAATATTTGTTTTAGGATTTTTCGTTATAATTCTACTACAAGCTTTTGGATTTGATATTGCACACGTTCACGTGTAACGTTAGAATGACTATTCCCACTGCATTATCCAATTATTACAACTTCAAACAAATTATTCGAACTCTTTCAGTATTTTAATTTATTTCACTCTTCACTCCTCACCGCAAATAAGAAATTCTTGCTCCACTTCTACGTACAATTTCTACCACTCAATCAGCTTCAGAAAAAAAAGGAAAAGTATGAAAGTATGCATTTCATCTTACACTCTCACTCCTTGAAACGAAGATTTCTCTCGCCCTTTTCAGCGAAAGGAAAATTACGAAACGCCATTCTGTGTAACAAGCTGCAGCGTTCTCGATCTACGCTTAAGCCTTGAGCTTTCCTCGACGTTTCTCCTTTAACATTCGCTAACATAAGTTGCGCAGCTTCCTCGAGGCATGAAACAGACGAGAAGAAGGTTTGCTCACGAAAGGACTTAACCGAAGGAATTTCGCGTTCTACCTAGCCATATTATTAGCACGCGTCGTTCTCCTTTTATCTCACGAGAGACCTGTGTGTTCGTGCAAGATGGATAGAGAGAGAGCGGAAAAGGAGAAACGAACGAACGTTTTTTATTAGAATTTTTATTGCATCGCGCGATAAATTCCCGTTGGTCGAGGCTCGAGTATCGCTTCTACGCGCTGCAGAACCGTCACAACTCGAAGAATTTCAATTTTCTTTGCTGTAACGATAAAAGCGACGCTGGCGAATTCTGGTGTATCGGTGAGACGCGTTGCGAGCGAAATTCAAAGGTATTCACGGTCCTCTGGAACTCAGGTGTTGAGTTTAAAGCTTCGATTCGGTTCTATTGCAGTTAGAGGCAATTCACCTTCTTGTTATTAGAATGTTCAATCAATGGACTAAAATATGCTTAAATTTAGTACGTGGAAATTACTGAAATATTGGAAACTTTCCAAATTTGAATACTGAAAATTTGTAAAAATTGAAATATTGAAAATTTTTTAAAAAATTAAATATTGGAACCTTTGAAAATTGAAATATTGAAAATGTTCGAAAAGTTAAATACGGAAAATTTGTAAAAATTGAAATATTGAAAATTTTTAGAAATTAAAATTCCAAAAAGTAGCAAGTACAGTATTTAAAAATAAAGTTATACCATGTAAAATGTACACATTGTCGTGTATTTTACACATTTAATTATTCAGTGTTAAAAACACCTTGAATCGACAGCGAATACACAAAGAATTCGTTGGAAAGATGAAAAGAAAAAGGAAGCTCTGTGGCATGAGTTGTGATTGTTAGAGTGACAACGATCAATCGCGAACATCGTAATTGAATACTTAATTTCATGGTAATCGTATACTTGGAGAGTGCTCGATTCTTCAGGGGTAGAACGAAGAGGAGGATCCTTGAATCGGAAGATGTTTCCATTAATTGCCGGGACACAGGTGTGAAAAGAATGCTTCATTCTTCGCTCGACGCTTTGTTAGGCGAAGTGCTGCTTTGTGTTCCGGAATTAAATGTTATGCTGAAGTTCCCTTTATGTCTCGAGATCCGTGTCTGCCGCTTTGGTTATCGTAGCCGAGACTAAGCAACAGCATCAGCTTACACACTATCTCTTCGCTCGTTGATTTTTAATTGTTTATTTTTCCTCGCAGGTATCCTTTGAAGCACATTAGAGATACTGAGTATCTTTAAATTTTGGGACTTTATAAAAATTATTCATTACTTGAAAAACCAGCTCTGTTGAAATACACTTCTGAAATTTCCTGTTGTTGCAAGAATTCTCTTCTAAAATAGCTTTGGAATTTGAAGAATTGCGGTAAAAAAAATTAATAATTATAGACACATATCCAACTGTTTGAAAATTAATAATTATAGCCACATATTCAGCTATTTAAAAATTAACAATTCTAGACACATATACTGTTGGATTATTTCTAACAACACCCTATGGAAATAATCAAGTGAGGACAAAAATGTCTCCGGGTTATTTTAAACAAAGGCACTAGGACTTCCACCAGATGCATCTGGTGTTCGTCTTCGAGTCACTCACTGCACAATGCCATACCACAATGTAAACAGTTTCTAGGTATAAGGGGACCCCAAATTTCTTTTGGGGGTCCAGAAACAGTCCTTCAGAAGATTCAATAGAATAAAGACGTTTCCTCTGAGACCGTAAATAAATCGTATATTACAAAGTGAAAAGACTATTTCATTCCTTAACCCATTTCCAATATATACTAAAGATTAGGCTATAAATATATCGAGAGCGCCTTAAATAATGAATTTCCTTCGCAATACGCGTGTTTTATACTAGCTCTATTAAAATGCACTTGAGAAATTCCCTATTGTTGCAAGAATTCTCTTTTGAAGCAGTTTTCAAAGTTGAAGAATTGCAGTAAAAAATTAATTTCCTTTGCAATACGCGTGTTTTCAATGGTTTTAAAAAAATATGTGGTATTCTTAGGATTCCTTCAGTGACAAATAAATAATCAGGTGATTTATTGTCTGTTTCAGCAACAACAACAACAGGCGCAACAGCAAGCCCAACAGCAACAGCAACAGCAGCCGCAGCAGCAACACCAGCAGCAACAACCGCAAGCTAACTCGCCAGGAGGCGGAAACGTGGGGAAAAGCAGTCCTTCGCCGGGAAATTCGGCATCCCCTGGCACCGTGACGGCAACCAACAAGTCGCAGACCGAGCCAAAACCGGTCGAGTGCAATTTGTGCCATCGGAAATTCAAAAATATACCGGCTCTCAATGGTCACATGAGACTCCATGGCGGTTACTTCAAAAAGGTGAGCTAGCCTCGCTTCCAAGCTTTACATAATATTAAAATTCAATTTCTCTGTCTGTATTTGCGTGAAATTATTTTTTATTTTTGCCTTCGTTATTAAACATCTATGAACTGTGATGGACCGAACAGTGAATGGACCTTGCAGAATTTTCAAGAAAATAATAATTACTTTCTGCGAATAATTCTACGAAGAATTGTATTGAAATGGATTTAAAATTGTATGAAAATTAATGCAATGCAAAATTTACAATTTTACGAATTTACGAAATTATGTTCATTACGTGAAAAGTGACGAATTTTCAGTGATAATCACTTTCTAGGAATAATTCCACGAAGAATCCTACCAAAGGGATTCAAAACTGTGTAAAAATTAATGCAATTCAAAATTTATAATTTTACAATTTTACGAAATTATGTTTGTTACGTGAAAAGTGACGAATTTTCAGTGATAATCACTTTCTACGAAGAATTCCACGAAGAATCCTACCAAAGGGATTCAAAACTGTGTAAAAATTAATGCAATTCAAAATTTATAATTTTACAATTTTACAAATTTAGAAAATCACGTTTATTACGTGAAAAGCGGCAGACGATCATTTTCCAACCGTCGCTCGTTCGAGAATGGCCGCGAAAACATTCGCGAGTATCTTCTACCGTTGCACCTGAGAATGGAGAAAGAGAAATGGTGAAAGAGAACCGTTGGGAACAACGTGTCGTTCGTTCTTGGTTGCGCATTTGTTCCGGCCGCTTCATCAATTCTCCTCGAGACGGTCTCGAGATGAAAATTATACAGAATCCGGCTTTGCTTACCTCTTCCACGAACACCGTTTCATCCCGCGGGTGTAGAATTGAATTTTCGAGAAGAATTTCACGAAGTTTACCAAAGGCTACGGGCAGGCGTGCAAGGTTCAGCGACATTTCCATATGAATTTGCAATCCCAGAAACTCGCACGCGGAGAGCTTCGTGTAATCAGCCGGTGATTTCATGAAAATCCCGCCGACCGAAATGCAATCAACCGACGATTTCATGAAAATCTCCGCCGGTTACGTTATACGCGGCTCTTTTCTTCGCGATCCACGGGACGATAATCACCGGAGAAGAAGAAGGGAGAGGCTATTATTCTGCCGGTGGTTCGAAGAGTAAGATTTCTTCTGTTCTTTTCTTGGATACACAATATCATCCTCGTCGCGGGAGACACGATTAATTCCCTACTCGAATAATTGGCGAGGAAATTAGCGAACCTTGATTTGACACGTTGCAAAAATTATTCGAGATCATTTCTGATAAGAAAATCTCTTCATGAGTTACTCGTATTTCTCAATAATGTAAATTGTATTAAGAAGAAACAAGGGTTCGGGACAACGACCATAACTTCTAAGAAAATTCATGTTTTACAGTCAAACTTTTTTCTTGCATTTGTCAAGGTGCTTTGTAACTGTGGTTAAAAAATGAAAAAATTCCATCCAATAGGAAAGGCAGAAAAAAATCTTGAAAATTGTCACCTTTTTTAAGGGTTCAAACAGACGTAATCCTCTAAATTAACATTTCTTAATTCTGTTTGTACGTTCTCCCATAATAATGTAAATTTACAATAACATCGTTCTTGAATTGTTTAATCTCAGCGTTCAAGCATATCTTAATCAGTTATGAAAATGAAAATTCTACACTGCTCGCGCAAATTCAGTTATCATTCCCATCGAGGCCGGTAAACGTTTCCGCGTTCAATCTCACCCCCATCGAGATCCTCGAAAGAAAGTTTCCCCGAACGAATCTCTTTCAACGCTTCCCTATAAACGACACGCCGTTCATTAAGACATTTTTAATCAGCGCGGAAAGAGGCGAGGCGAGAGAGAGAGAGAGAGAGAGAGAGAGAGAGAGGCGACAGGCTGAATTAGAGAAGTTGAACGAAGAAGGTGGGAGAATCGCTGATCTTTCTATTCCGACGACTGCAACAGCCAGAGCCTCTTCTTTGACCTTATTAAGAGCCGCTCTGTTCCGAGTCTGCTCACGGAGAGATGAGAAAGAGGGAGAGAAAAGTATGAAGCCGAGCAGATCTCTCCTCGAGATTCCACCTCTGATTTCTTCTCACTTTTTTTTTTTCTCTTCTCTTCTTCCACCCACTGCGACGATTACCGCACAGAAATGCACCGTGAACCAGGAAACCGGAATTTCAGGCTGTGTAAATGTACGTTCGCGAAGTCGATGCACGACGTGGTGATTTTATCGGTCGACCGTGATTTTTAAGTTTGCCTTTGTTGTTTGAAGGTGTGTCACGTGGGTTTGTTGTTCTTGATTGGTTAATACAATTCGCGGGAGTAATTGTGAATCGTTGAAGCGTCAAATCTACTTTTACAGCTTCTGTATTGACCATCTGTAGGCAAACTTGTAGGTTTATGTTCAAGTCTAACTTTTTCACTGTTCTAGGCTTTCAGAAAATCTGAAAAAATTCCGGGATACTTGTCGAAGTCTCTACTACGCTATAGAATCGTTCGTTAAGTCATATGTTTAAAATTTTCTTCGATAAACATCGTTCATTCCGAAGAAACACAGTAGTGACATTTCGCCTGGGTCATTAACGACCCAGATTACATAAGGAGAGACAAAATTTCACACAAGTTCCCGGCACTGTTCTCAAGAAAGCATTCCCCTCGAAAGCATCCAGGATTATTTATCAGTGTTCTGAAACACGCGTAGCTCGTCAAACTTGCCACGAACCCTCTACGAATCACTTTCAGTCTCCCCGGCACACGTGTCACTCGGTTTCCGCTGGTATCTCCGTTCGGAACAACCCTCGAAAGACAAACGGAGAATAAAGAGAAACAAAAGTTAGAAAGCAGTCGATTGAGCAAAGATTGAAACCAGTAAACGAGCAAAGATCGAACGAGAGGGAAAGCGGTGGCAGCGGGGCGAGGGTGGATGGAAAGGTAAGGCGATGATCGAATCCAAATGAACCCATTAACAAGCTCTTTGCTTCCACGGCGGCGTCGGCGGCGGTGGCGGCTGGAGACGGAAAGATTGGGAGGCAGCACGGTCGGAGAGGGCCGTGCAAACATTGTCTTGAGCTTTCTCCATTATGTAGATTGAATCTGAACCGGTTACCAGTGGGGTTTTCAACGGGGCTGCTCTCGTTTCGAGCTGCAGTCGAGTTTTCAACTCGCCACCACTCACTCACGCTCTCTCTTTTTCTCACTCAAACTCTCTTCTCTCTGTCTCTGTCTTTCCCTGTCACTCTCTCTCTCTCTCACTTACACACTCTCGTCTCCCTTTTCTCTCCCTCTGCCTCTCTCTGTCACTCTCTTCTCTCCTTTCTCTCCCTCTGTCTCTCTTTGTCACTCTCTCTCTCTCTCTGTCTGACTCACGCTCTCTTCTCTCTCTCTGTCTCTCATTCGGTCACTCTCTCCCTCTCTTAATCTATATCTGTCTGTGTTTGTATGCTTCTGGTCCACGCGCACCCAGCGTATCCAGTTTCGCGTCCAGCCTTCCGTTCATGCGACCACGTCCGGATCCATTCATTTTGATCTGTGTACATACATTCATATTCATGCTGGTGGCGGGGCCTTTATGTTCGCCATGGCCCGTGTTCACGATCAAGCATTAGAGGTCCACGGCCACCGTTCAGAGACACACGATGAACGTTCATGGTTCACGAGTGGAGGACAGAGGCGTGAGTGCATTCAGATATTTGTAGTCAACTCGAGAATGCTCCATGTACGCTGTTAATGGGTCCCCACGCGAGGGAGATGCGTTCTTCCTCGATACGAAGAAGATTGTTGCTTGTTTCCAAGCAACCGATTTTTTGCACGAGTTTGCACCGAAAATTTTGCACGATTGAAAATTCAGGTCATTTCAAGTCTTCAAGTCACTTTCATGTATTAAATAAATAGAGTCACGTTTTGAAATTCACACACACTTTCTTCGTATTGTCACAAGTTTCCAATAAAGTGTTTATAGATCTATTTCAAAATGATAATTAACCGCAAATTTTTTTGAACTTTCATGGTAGTCAGATTGCCTATCGCATAATTAATATACGAAGCATTGTACATGTACGTATATCTAAAAAATTAATATATTCAGAGACACATCCAATTTCTTCTAAACTTCACAGAAACCTCGGAAATTCCGTCCAACAATTTCACTTTTACACATTTCCTCCATCTCCTCGTTCCAATTAAAAAAATACCTCAACATAAGTCTATATACTTAGCAACATCACGTTTACTAAAGAAAATTCAGTCCTGTCTGACTTATAGTCGATTCCATCACTAGCAGCGACTACCTGTACTACTGAATCCACAAAAACTACAAGAACTTCAATTCACCACTAGATACACGCTATTCCCACAATCATTCCAGTTATAATCCTTCGTTTCCTCGCTAGAATAGAAAAATACTTCAACATAAATCTCCACAAACGAAAATTCACGCTTGTCTGACTTATAGTCGATTCTATCACTAGCAATAACTACCTACGTACCGCTAAATTCACGGGAAAAAGCCTCTGTTCCTCTCCGGTACACGAATCGATGCTCTCGAATCCAATGCTCTTTCCTATATAACGAACGAAACGGGATAACGACTACCATCGAGAATTATTAAACAGTTTTGATGGCTTTTCATCCAAGTGTGTTCAGATTAACGCGCGTTTTATTTTCCCGTCGAAACACAGAGAAAGAGATGGAAGAAAGAAAAAAAAAAAACACGAACACTATACAATATATAACGAAATAATATTCCTCACGCTTCGTAGCCACGCGTCTGAAAAATCGCTCGCGCGGAAATCGTCGGCACAGGAGCGGTTTAAGGTTTTGTCGGGCGAACGGGATTAAGAGATTCACCGGTGACTTTTAAATAACACAAAAGTGTCGAGTGCACGGTGGAATATTTTTTCTCCCGCTCGCAAGTTCGCTCTCGTCGATGTTCCCTTCTCCCCTCACGATTATACCGTAATCCTCGAATAAATGGAATTCGGTCGATTGCTTCCGCGAGATAAACGACGCGGAATTGAAGAAAAATTAACTCCTCCGCCAGATTTCGAGCTCGATACAATGACGAATTTGTTGCAAATTGGTCGAGTTCTTTTTCTCTTTATTTTTAACAACACTTAACCGCCGTATTTGATTGCGAGATAAATAAAATAAAAGCAGTAGCATTTTTTCGGAGGAAAATTCGTTGTAGAAATTTGTAAGTCTGTGTTTATCTTGCTTTGTGAGATACGGCGCGCAATTAAAAAGTTGGCAAAAAAATTGACGAAGTTGTTATCGGGACTGTGCTGTCATAGATACAATTTTTAAACATGTCGAACACCTTTTTTCACGATAATTCACCAGGGGCAGCGAGAAACACGATGTTCGAAAAACCGAGTACAATTTTGGATACTGTTTGCTGGTCGATACCAGTGCTTTCGACTCAGTATCGCTGTTAGTTGCGGAAAAATGATAATTTAAAATAATCAGTAGTAAAAATTTAATTTAGAAAAGAACGAATTTTTCGCGTTCGTACGATTTTAGAGTAGAAGTATAAAATAATTGTAATTCCAGTGAAACAGAATGGATATTATGATCGATCTCGTATCGTCGTAAATCAAATAACCAATTTGGCTATATTAAAATTAGTAGAGCCTCATAATCAATCTTTCATAATCATAAATACACGTGTCAATGTGTGCAATGCCAGGCTGCCATTTCAACGTTAATTAATTACCGCGTTTAATCTTTTCCGCCGTAGAATTCGAAGGATTTACATGATAAATTAGAAACAATTGGTACGGTTATTGATGGAAATCGTGGAAAATTTCAAGGGTGAAATTAGCAGGCAACGTCGCTGTGAAAGACGGATGGCTGAACATTTGTAAAACGACGATTACCTTTTTATCGACACTGTACACTCGTTAACATTTGTACTCTTGCCCACGCCAAAGTGAGTACAATACGTCGAAGCTGCATAATTCAAGAAAATTCGCCGAATTCCCCCGTGATCCAATACCCGTACAAATATCTGTTCTTTTATTATTAAACGAAAAAACCCGCGAATCCATTACACGGCATTCCGATGATGTTCATATTGAAATTCCTCGAAAGTTCAATCGCTTCTTTAATTAAACATCAATTGAAATACTATTGGGGCATTGAAGTAATACTTAAAATTTCGTAAAATCGACGAAGATTTCCCGGTAAAGCTACAATTTCACACGATTCACCCATTTGCATTATTATTAAAGACACCGTGTCTGTGCAATACTGATAGGAACAACTTGATCTAGAAAATTTCAGAAGCGTTGTATAGTTCGTTCGTCCCAAAAGAAAAAAAGAGGTAAGACGCAATTTATACAAAATATTGTACGCGAAATAATTAATCTAGATTGTTAAAATCAATGAAATATGAAGTTTTTCATTCTTCCTGCAATATTTGCATTTAAATTTAATGAAATAATGACGCAAAACGAGCCAATAAAAATTAATCGTTTCACGCAAATTTCAATCAATATTCATACACACGTCCTTGCACCCTGGTATTAAAACAACGCATAGACTGTTTAAATTAAAATCCCACGAAAATTCAATCAGATTTTTCGATCGACCAACCCTAGTACTCCGCTGTTCGAATAGAAAATTCGACCCGTACACGTTTAAATCACGCCGAGCCTGTAAAACACAGTGCCGTAGGAATATCGATGCGCGCCCTGCGTGTTTGGGGAAATGCATTTCCGAAAGGACAGGACCGCCACTTAAAATCTTCTCCTCTGAAAAACAATCGCACGATCAACTAGAAACCCCTTCGCTCTCGGCCGGCTGTCAAGTGGAATAGAACACAGAAACAAACAAATAAAGCGTAAAAATAGAAGGAAAGAAGAAGTCCGGGGAGAGGGATGGGGGAAAACATGGAAAAAGCGAATTCCTGGAACACGCGTGCGGAGCGACGAGTCTCTCTCTCTCTCTCTCTATTCCCGTGCCGGAGGGACGCGGAAAAAGAGGAGAGAAAAATAGAGAGAGGGTGAGTGGAGGAGGCTTGGGGGATAGAGAAGAGGAAAAAAGAGTCGGACGTGTGTACATTACGGTACACAGGAGAACTCGCGTTCGAGGCTGGAATCGACACGGATCGAATTGATGAGTCGGAGCCAGCGAACGTTCCGCAATCAATTCCGCGCATTAACGGCCGCCGATCAATATTCATGAAGCGAGCGCGGTACGCCACGTCAAAGACAGAGTTCAATTTCGCGGCAGGTGATATATATATATATATACATATGTATGTATATACATGCCGAGATACAAATATGTATGTGTAATTATTGTTCCAAGGGTGTGTATTGTTTGGTTTGGAAAAATTAACTTGATCTTGAAATCTACCCCCGTTACTTCACCAGCGAGGAAATTATTTGTGTAGTATTGTGTCATTCAGTGTATCGGACAACTTTTGTAGGAACATTTTTTCGATAGCTTTAGTTTCTTCTGAGATATTCTGCTGTGTTCAGTTAAAAAAGACACCCTGTATATGTGTAAATATCAGGCAAATGGCGACGGACTTTTGCGGTTATTATGGTACAAAGTAGTGAAACTTGGAATAATTGAACTGTTTGAATGATTCGGATAATTTTCAAATGTTGAATTCTTCATTCGGATAAGTCGAATATTCGGTGTATTCGAGTACCAGTAGAATTCGGATTTCAACTTCGAATGGTTGAACATTGTGTAAGTGTCATATCAAGTGAAATATTCGAGTATTCGGCACAATCCAAAATTCCAACACTCTGGATATTCGAATTATCCTAATTAAGAATTCGTATTCCAAATAGTCCGCACTATTCGAATAACTCAACTATTCGAAGTTTGACAACCCTACTTTGTATCACTGCAACCGCAATTCCATTACTGTTCCCATTCCACTTCTCATTTTCGTCATAACTCCCTAATAAAGCTTCAAACAACCTACATCCATATAACATTTTCTTCTCATCTACACCCCTAGAACACACTGACAAAGGTCGTTCCAAAAGAATTTTGACACCCGGTATATACACGTGCGTATACGTGCCGCTATGGTATAAAGCGTATAGAAATGCGCGTGAAACTACATATCGAAATAGCGGATAGGAAATTGAGGAACAAGATGACGATCAGCGATTACCGGAGAGAGAGGGGGTTCCTCTCTCTCTCTCTCTCTCTTTGTCTTGCTCCCTCTCGCTATTAAGGTTTCATCAAGATGACGACGCGGTGCCGCGTATCACCGTGATGCATGGTCCTCCTCGAAGGGGAAGCGGCTCGCGCGAAACGGGACGAAGATACATGCGTGTCCGACGTGGACGTATGCTAATTGCCGGTCGCGGCGTCCGAAGGACTGGCACAATTAACCCTTCGTTTCATCGGGACCACTAATCTACGGCCCCCACTGTCCCACCGATCGAAGTATCAGCGGCCCGCTCTGGATGCGTTTCCGATTAACCGGTTGCTCCGTGATGGACGAGACGCGGGTTATGGGCCGCGTGGGGAACGCCTGATATCGGAGGTCGTGCAGAGATGCGTCTGTGTCGGTTAAGATTTGTTGAGGAAATGGGAAAAGGGGTCGACGCGAACGGTAACTGCTCAATGCGCTGGTGATTAATGGTGGTGTTCGATTTAATTGGAGGAAACTCGGAGGAGATGATTAAATGTATTGTGGGAACGCGAGTGTTTCTTAGATTTTTTTTCTTTTTTATTGTATCTTGTGACACGAATTTGGAAGGCAGGGTTTTATTTTCAGTACTTTTGCTTGTAGGACTTTGTGAGATTGATTGAGCGGAAGAAGTTGTTGGGTGAAGATGGTTGTATCATTTCAGAGTTTGTTCTTTGAGCGCGTTGAAAAATCAATTTAGATAGGAATTTAAGTTTGATGTACTTGTACATGCGTAGGTGTAACGGACGATATTGTTCACTGTTTCGTATAAAAATAAGGGTAGATAAATTTCTGCAAATGCACGATAAAGAATATTTTTCATTTATATCCGTTTTGACGGTTTGTACTTTTTAAATAGATCGCCAAAGTGCAAACACTGTATTCTTTATTCTAAACATTTTATTTTAGGAATTTTCAAGGGACAAGTCGTGTATTTAACTTGTTTGCTAGCTACTATTACAAAAAAGGATATTTCTTTTAAAAACCTTGACACACTTATCAATCCAGTGAAATACTGCGGATAGACAAATATTTACGAACGACAGTGTGTTATAACTATGATAGAATTATTTTATTTGAAATTACCTAAAATGAACGATTTTTAAATTGTTCCCTCGTCTACACTTGGCAAATTATTTTTAACCGTTATGATTAATTTATCGAAAATCACATAGGCATGGAAGCGAGAAAAAGTGCAAATAATACAGATCATTATTCGCCAGTTACTTCTCTCCTCGCATTTCCCCATCCTCGGCCGGTTCTCGTTCATCTGTCATCTTTATCTTCTCCCCGTTCTCTTTTATAATCCTCCCTGAAACGCCTGATCTCTTCAATCTCATTCCACGAACACCCTCCTCTTTCTTCTCTTCTCCTTTTTCATGTTACTTTTCCGCTGAATTTCCTCCCTTTCTTGATCCCACTCTCTCCCTCCCTCTCTCTCTTTGCCGCGCTTAAGGACCATCTAACATCCTAATCGATCCGCCAGTAACGAGCCCTGTAAAATTAGATCTCAGACTATTAGCGAATTATAGACTAGGTCAAGTAGAACCTACAATGTTACGCAATGGGGAGCTTTGTGCTAGATCGCTGACCAAAATCCTTAACGAGATCCTCGGGATAGGCTGGTAATTTTTATCCTGCTCTCTGGATATTGATCAAACTGCACTGTCAATTGTTGTAAAAAATTAGGTGATATATGCGAAGCTAGGTGCAGTAAGAGGATATTATTTGTGAAAATTATTGTCTAAAACGTTTGGTACGAAGGAAAATAATTTTTTGACACGTTGTACTTTTAACTACTTCAGGATGCTGAGAACAAGAAAAGCGAGAAGAAAGAGGTCGTGGGGCCGCCCTTGCAAACCGCATCCGTCAGTGTGAGAGCACTCATCGAGGAGAAAATTATACAGAAAAGAACAACTGGTAAGTTGCATTGATAATTCTAACGAACTGCATGTGAGATAATGTGAAAAAGTATTTTGCTATGTTTGCATAAAATTCGTAAACCGTGACGTTTGTATTTATTAATTTAGAAAAAAGTCAGATCCACTATAATCGCCGTTAATTACAAACTGACAAAATCTAGAATAAAGTGAAGAATATTAAAATGTGAAGTTGAGCGATGGAAAAGTGGAAATAGAGATTTCTCGTTCTTGTGATTCACGCTCGTATCGGATGCCGAATAATGACATTGATATAGCGTTAAATAACGTGGCAATTGAAATGGGAATACGATTTCGATGATTTATATAGCCTGAAAGGTATCTCGATTCGGCTACGTCTATTTTTCTTCCTGTCTTCCTTCATCTCTCTCTCTCTGTCTTCGTCATAGATACATTTCGCCAGCTATAATCGTAAGGAGCGAGCCAAGTTATATTAACTGTCGAGTTACATTAACCTTCCCTTGGATGTATTCGGCAGTCTGACGTGACATCTACAAGGATAATAGTTACACGGAATATGTCGCTGAACTATTCCATGCGCACTTGTGGATGCTTAAGATCGGAACGGAAGTAACTTGGATGATGGGGAAATTCGCTCGTGAACTATAACGAGGGAATAATAAGTGAAATTAGAAGAACGTTTTGATACAACTGTAGAATGGCAAATCTGTGGATATTATTAAGCACTCGAGTACTAATTTCCGCGTACTTGGAATATTGCACTAGGTGCCGTCTGAAGATTGAATGTATTGCGTTGAGAGTCTGACTGAATCTTTGTTATTCCTAATACAACTGATGGTCTGTGTACTAACACTCGGTGGTCTTAAGCTAAGTCGGCCTTCTTATCGAGTCGTCCCTTTTCCAAATCTTCGAAAATTTGAAGAAGGGACGCGAAGGGAGGTTCTTAAAATTACTAAGTGACCTCCCATTGCGCCCGGAGTGCGTCACGTCCTTGATGCGCCCGGAGCGCGTCACGTCCTTGGAGCGGGGGTGACGAAGCTGGTCCTTGCTGGACGGAATTTTGACAACAACACAGGGGGGAAAACCCGGCCAGGTCAACTCTGACTCTCCGACTCGTTCGGGAGGTCAGGTACCGAGAGGCCTCGGTAATTGCATTGGTTTCGAAGACCCTTTGGGGGTGACTTTATGATACCTTGCCTTACTGACTGAACAGTAGCCTATTCTTTAATATTTGAGAAATTCTAAGTGCCGCATGTTGGCTGCAAACCGGTCTGCTAAATTAAAAATAACGGTTTGCTGAACTAGAAATCACGTATCATAAAATCGTCCCCTTGCTGTTCTAACAGATATACATAGGAATACATGTGTAGGATAATAACATTTTCATTTAGAGAACTTCCTTTGCTGATGTCTCGGTGATAGAAAATTTGGTGCTTTCAATTTTTAAAGGAATAATAATTCTTATTTAAAGAATTCTATTGCTAATATCTCAGCTTTTGAAAATTTGGCGCTTATGGAACTCTGCGATTGTTTCGAGCTGGTTTAATTCTACAGTGTTCAGTGGAAGATTTGTATCAAAACTTGTAGCAGCACATATATTTTCACAAACATCGTTAAATTCTTCAAATCGTATCCACAAGCAACTACAACTAACTCCAATCCTCGCAATCTTAAACTCTACCACTAATTCTAACAAACCACCGCAAGAAAAATCGCAAAAAATTCTTCTAAAGCAACACCTACTCACAATCACACTTTCCAACCTTCCAATCATCGCTCGTCCCTAAAGATCGCTTCCACGAAGAACTATTAACGCGATCAGGGTGTCCAGTCTTCTCTGTCGAGAAGAGAAAATTCGCGATGTTTTCTCTCTCTCTCTCCTCTCTTCTTTACACCATGCATCTCACGTATCCGTTTATGCATGTGTGCGTCTGTCTGTCTGTCTGTCTGCCTGTCCGTTCATGGAAACGTGTACATTTGCCAGAAGCTCGCGTGGATATTCCAGCCAGCGAGAGGAATCGCGCGGCCTCTCCTCTTCGCCCGCTCTATGGACTGCCGAAGAATCGTGATTTACGAAGCGGGCACGCCAGAATATTTCTCGCATTGTCCACGTTCGAGCGATAAATCAAGCCGCGCCGCGCGATGGCCCTGTGCCGGCCATGTTGAGGGGCCAAAGAGGGTGGACGGGAGCCGCGCTTTTGTAACAAAGTGCGCGTCGTTAGCGATTTATGCGCTATTTCGCCGTCGGCCGCTCTGCCAGGAGCTGCGGGAGACGAGACTATCGCTCTTTTCGCGGGGATTCTTCGCGGTATGCCAACTTCCCACCGCCTTAACGTTAATGCGGGTGAATTAACGCGACCTGAAAGACGTCCTAATACGTCACACTCTTAATCGTCAAAAGAAACACCTTCATGAATTACAGTCAAAACCACACCCATACACCGTTCGAAGAAAACGAAATGAAAAACAAATACGAAACGGTAATTGCAAACATTTCAAACACAAACCACAGTTTAACGAGCGCGCCGAAGTCGTTCGACAGAGCTGATTTCACGGCGATAGGAACGTTATTTTTCGAAAATCGGACCGGGGATCGATCGATAAATAATTCGGCTGGATCGTTCGTCGGGCAGGATTCACTTGCTGACGACGCATCGCATCGCGCTGTCCTTCGTCGGCGCATCGATGCAATTAGAGGAGGATTTCTGGTCGAGTTGCTCGTCGATGTTTGCCCACAGTCTCGGGAGAAACGACGTTTAAAATCGTGACGATGTCCCGTTCACGTGCAAATATTTCGGTACGAAATTTCCGATTCTCTATTTCGACTGTAATTTCCAGGTGAACCGAGGCGTGTTAAAATTTCGGAAAAATTTTTAATATCTTCTCGCTGGTATTCCTGCCTTAATTTCGTTCGCGAAAAGAAGGAACAATGCGGCGGAAATTGGAATGAATATTTTTCGAATTTTGTTTGAACAATTGTATTCTCATTTGACACCACGCTAACGTATTCGCGAAAGTACGAATATTTCTGCTAGTACGTGATTTTATTGTTCGTGGAACAAAGGGATTGGATTCTTCTTTTCACCGTGGAAATGAACGATATTTGTTGAGATTTATTTATACACCTCGAACGTCTATTAAAGTTCCTAATATTGTCTGACTATTGGTGGCCTATTCTACTGATACGTAGCTGGTACAGAATGGCGAATAATGAGACAAAAGGAGCGGCAATTTTCAAATAAATTGTAGCTGTGTTGAATGAGAGGTATGTGTATCGAATTCCTGGAAAAGTTAATTGCTTATCTTGCATATTACAACTGACAAAATATTGAATCAAACTAGAAAATAATAAGACAAAAAGATTGGCAATTTTAAAGTAAATTATGCCACTGTTAAATAAGAATATACTTACATGTTGAGTTTCTAAAGAAGTCTATTTTTTATCTTATAGATTACTCCTAAAAAAAAGTATTAAACAATCTTTCACGTCGTTATCAAATTACCGACACATTTATACTCGCCCAATATTTTTTTCGTTCCATTAGTAAATAACCACGTGCACTGTAATTAAACCGGAACCTAAAAACCCCCCTTATTTCCCCGCGTCCATATTTCAAAAAATAATTTATCTCGCTGCACACAGAAAGTTCCGTCGCGCGCCCGCAAATTTTCCATCCCAATAAAGCTGTTATTCGACTTCAAAGTAATCACTCTGCTTGGCACGCGCGTCACACCTCTGCCCTACCGGCTCGTCCCTACGCGGGACGACGTAGGAGAAAGGAATCGAGAAAAAAAGAAAAATATATACATATCGCCGCACGTAACGCGAATCCTTTGACGAAAACGCCGCCGTACATTGCAGCAAACGCGATATAAATATTCATTGCATATTTAGAGGGGTGGGGGAGAAGCTGCGTATTCACCCAACGAAACATTCATAAGCAAATGAATTGATTGTAAATAAATAAGTGATTACAGGCAGCGTGGTATATGCCGGTTGAATGTGACAACGCGTTGGCGGCAAAAATAACGCGAATTTTAAAGCAATTACCGGTAATGCGGTAATAGGTAAAATCCATAAAGCATTGCAA